ATTCAAATGAAGTGAAATTAATAAATAAAAAAAAAGGATTTTAACCCATTTTATATTTTCCAATGGCTATTTTTTAAATTTTCTAAAAAAGATGGGAAAATATAAAAGTGGGTATTAATGAGCAAAACAATTTTTAATTTTTAATAAAGAATATTTAAAAATGAATAACAAATCAAATTCCTCATTTTTGAGAATTTATATATATATTTTTTGATTTTTTTTTAAATACCGGTTAATCACCCTAACCGTCCAAAATCGGAACCGGCCACTGGCCAGTTTTGATCTAACTGGGTGGTTAGCGGTTAGATCGGGCGATTTTGCGAACAATGATTCAGACATTAGTGATTTGAATGATTAATGGCCCCTTAATGGGAAATGTGTTAATAGCATGATACTACTTCGGTTCTAGTTGAGTGAAAACAGTAGCATTCTGCAGTTGTTTGTAACGTTAACATCATAGATCCTATATCCTTGTTATCTATCTTGTATGTACTATATAGATTCTATATCAGTATTTCATTGTCTATTCAATGGACGAGCATAATTTTGGGGGCACAATCAAGAAAAGATAAATAACCTATGATTCTCATAATCAGTGTATACTTTTTGGCCATAATATGGGGCATGAAGGTTGCAACCAAATGATTCAACTTTAGGATTTCTTTTTCCTTTGTGGTCTTTTGAGCTCTAATGACTTATTTAAACTTTAACTTTCAATGTCGTATTTCAACCTATGGAGTTCTTGCTTCTTCGATCTTGAGAGTTTGGTTGGCACGTCATGCTTCTACTTGGTATTTTTCTTGGTAAATATGACTTTGGATTGGACATATGAGCATGCCTTTTTCATATGCGTATTAATTTGCATTACTTTTCATCCTTTCATGTCATTAGGATGCACTTATCTAAGTTGCCCCTGATGCCTAGGGCCTTCCAATATCTCCTGTCTTTTTGTCTATTTGGTTGAATGTTTTAGAGTATACTCTTGCTCATATATTTTCTTTTATTATCTTCTTCCATTGGTAAGAGGGATTCATATTTCACACCCACAACAAGAGCTTCATAAAATTAAGTTGTATGTTAGGACCCCCTACATACTGATAGTTAAGGCTCATGCGTATGGTTTTTCCGTCCTGGCATAATTTATTTGCTTTAACAAGAAGTTGAGTCAATATTGGTGTTCCAATATGAGTTTCGTTTGGTTTCTGTAATGTAAGGAATACCCGATGTTGTTCTTTTTTGGCGTCATCCCAAATCTAAATTGCCCTTCTAGTCCTTGCTTTATGTTTAAGGGCTAATTTTTTTTTAAATAAATTATGATACCATAGTTATTTACAGTTGCTATACACCTATGAGTAATGCCTTGATTCTCATGTCAATCCTCCATTTTCTTTCTCTGCTTTGAAATTTCAATGCTTTCAACTACTATGAGAATCATGCTTTCCTCTTATGTGTCTCTTGCACTGTCTGCTCTTGATAATGACCTACACCTGGCTATTTCTTGAAGTTTGCAACACTGATTGACATTTCCTACACCTGGCTGTATCTTGAAGTTCTTGTCTTCTCGAAATCATTTGACATTACAAACTAATATGTGAGAGTTGGCAATATCGCTAGGTTCAGGATGATTCATTGCATGCAAATTTATAGATAGAGAACACATTAAACATCTGGTAACTTATATTATGGTTCCCTGGTCTGTGATCCTGTTTTTTCCTATTGAGTTTGCGGGTTAATGAACTGCTTAGTGCATCGGGTTTCACTCTTTGTTGACAAGTGTAACATCCTACTTACCATCTTGTGAGGCATTTGGTTGGAAAGAAGTTAGAGACTGTATTTTGAAGGCTTCGACCATCTTCAAGAGCTCCAACAGCATTGGCAGTCTCCATAATCTTGACGGGCGGTTCTGGTCCTTTAGTCTTATCCCAAATCGCAACATTTATAGTAGCTCCTCCTTCCTGCCTGTGAGCCACCAAAGTTTCAATTATGATAGTAGCTCCTCTGGTAACCCAACTTTCTCCATGTTTTGGGGGTTAGTTATGGACAATGATTTGAAATTCTGACTTTTTATTTTTGGTCGATAATGTATGAAAGCACTGCCTTGACTTGGGACTCATCGTGGTCCCATTCCTAGTTGAATGGGTGAGATTTTCTGAGTTTCTCTCAAGATACTTGATCGAGTCCTGAGATTCAATAGTCACCCTAGGCGAGTCGACTTAGGTAAGTCCTGAGTTGATTCACCATATTTTGAAACTCTGGTTGGGGATGATCATCTGGTGATCCAAGTTACCTTTGCAGGCCAAGGCTTGGGCTCTTCTCATCACTGGCATTAAGGTGATCTTCAAGTCATATTTCAAAGTCTTTAATGTAGAAGGTGATTTGCTTAATGTAATTTGATGTGCATTAAGTTACTTGGATTGTAGATATTATGGAAGTCCATGAGATGTGCCGTGCTTCTCTAGACTGTTGTTCTCGTTGTCTTTAGACAGCAAGATGGCCAATTTCCCAGCCACTCTAAAGTGAGGAGAGACTCATCTACATTTGCCCTTTCAGTGCAACTTGCAACTTGCTATATAGTACACAAACTTGAAATCAAATTAACAAATAAATGTGTGGAAATTTACTCAATTCATGTGTATGTATGTATTATATGTCCTGTATGGTTTTATAGGAGGCCTGGCAGGGTTGGCCTAAGCCTGGATTGGGCTCAAGTGCCCTGCCTTAGTCCTACTGGTGTATAGTTGGCGTGGTCCTCAGTCAAGGCACAATTTTTGTTTTTCCTTTTCTGATGGAAAAGTTTTAAAATAATGAGTTGGATGAGATTTGAGCCAGAGTAAGGACTACTAGTGCTGCATGCACACTAGCCATAAAAGCCTGAGCTCACTAGTTGTGTTCTACTTTTCACTTCTAAAATATGTAGTAGTTATAATGCTTCATATACATGTTTATTATAATGCTTCAGATACATGTTTATTATAATCTCTCTCTCTCTCTCTCTCTCTTTCACACCTCTCTCTCTTGGCCCCCTCCCCGCCCCACCCCTCCTTTGGCTTTCTTACACAATACCTAATCTCTCTCTCTCTAAGGCATGAAAACCCAAATCTTGCTCTTGTATGCATACCTAATATCTCACATAAAAGCTAATAC